AAAAACTTCACGGCTGGGAAAATGTACATGGCAATGGATACTACCTTGTAGATTTTCTTTTAAGCAATATTCTCAAATGATAATACAAAATACATAAAGGATAAAAAGATTGCTCTTGATGGCTTCATAAAATGTATTCACTTACATCAATGAAAACATACAATCTCATAAATCATAATACAGTAATTTTCCTTTCAAAATTTCCCTTTAAATTGTCTATAAACTATAAGTTCATGTCCATTTGGTTTTTCTTTTTTTTCAAAATATACTACTAAATAAATATTCAATAACACTTCACCATTCTCCACATATAATAAATCTATATATATATTTATTATCTTCATATACATGTCATAAAGTGACGTTTGACCTTTGTGTATTTTTCCAAACACACACACTGGTCCCACCTGCAATGGCTTTTGTATATACAACACGCCTCCCAAATTATATGTTGTTCAAAACAGACCCACCCTGCTATAGCCCCAATTCCTAGCAACAAATTAATCCTGCAATATGTCAGAAAATCGTTGTCAATCAAGACAATTACCAAAGTATCGATTTTTGTTTTCTGCCTTTGTTTTTCGTTTTTTTTTTTTTTGGACAGCGTACTATTATGAGACTAATATAGACAGCACAGTGCAACAAATGTCAATAGGGACAAATATAAATCACTGTTTTAATATGAACTTAAAAATTTAATAAGAAATAAAAAACAACAACAAATCCATTTGAACGCACATATTATTTATTCTGTGTACAATTACATGTCTGTTCATGCACGCTTTGCGTTGTAATTGTATAGTAATTTATATATTTTATACAAATTTAAGGCTTGCCACAGTCAAACCGACAACGCCAACAGAAATATTAATGACAAAATAATGTTCGGTTTTTTTATTTTCTTTTTTGCTCACAAACAAATCCTAACCACAAATTATAAAATAATTTTGAAATGGGGGAATGCATACCTGGATAAATTTACTTCATTAATATAGTATTTTTGGTATTTGAGTGATATATATTAGGGTGGTTATGCCATGAAATATGTAATTTGTGCATACCACTCCCAATTCATCAGCAATCGAGACATGTCAATTAAATAATTAACATGTTAAATCATGAAAGCAAAAACAATAGAAGCGAGGGAACTAATAAGCGATACCATATCCCAATACAGCAGAACCCGAACCCCCAATCCTACGCAGTTATTGTATAAAATATTTGTGTTTGCGTGAATAAAATGATTTTATATTCGCTATATTCGTTCACCTATTAGGTAATCAACATGTCTAGACAACATCTGGACGGCTAAATCTAGAATTTCTAAATTTTGTGCGAAGGGAATAATTCCCGTACCACCGTTTTTCATGCTGATGCATAGTACGACGTACTTTTAAATTGAAAGATCTACATCAAATAAATGGACCTCTATTAATATTTTCTGCATTACGGTTCAGAAGTTCTCCAAGAACCATAAAAATACCTAAACTGGAAACGGGACCCTCATGGAGGCTATGTAAAAACTTGGCTATACATTAAAAATTTTTTGTAAAGATGCTTTTTCGCTCTCCAATAACCCATACCATAAATGACAGCCCCTTTGGAGGTACATTTAGGTACATTCGAATTGCAACTGGGAATATCCTTCAATAGGATTTTTGCAGGAATTTCCTAATACCGTGGATTTTTTTTCCAACATGGGGTCCTTCTTGTAATTAATAGTCATTTTCATAAGTTGTCCACAGATAGAAATATTGGCCTGGCGGAATTATATAGGAGGGCCAACGGTCAATTTCCCCGGAATTGCCAAATACGGCGGAATTTGTCCCAACATTGGATCTCTTTTATTATGCTCAGTAATAGTACTCTTCATAAGCTTTCTATAGATGCTAATATAGGCCTGTTGAAATTGTCCACTAGAAATATCTTTTTCAATGGTACTACTCATCATATGCATTCCATATACATCAATATTGACCGGGCGGACTGAATCCGGGAAGGCACATTGACCACTCTATCCTTTTCAAAGGATATAGTCTAAAGTTCACTTAGTATTTATTATTTATTTTCTACAAAAATGATTTCTCCACAACTCTTTCTGAAAATTGTCTCTCTTAATTCTGGAGATTTATCTATGAAGTATTTATTACACCACTTATTTAGCATGAATAGTATTTTCTATCCCGTCTACAAACCAGCGAAATATTACTCTGAGATTCGTGGTCAGCTTAATTCGTGAATATAAAATCGATGAGTGCATATCCGCGATAACCAAAATAATAATGATAGGATTTTGAAATTATACACAGGTACAGACTAAGATGTTTACTATTAAAATCTGGACATATCAGTCCAGGCCTCATGTACAGCTGCCTACATATCGTCTATAAAGAATCTCTTCAGCTGGGCTTCAGCTCGCCTATAATGACTCCCTTCAGCTGGGCTTCAGCACAGCTATAATGACTCCCTTGAGCTGGGCTTCAGTTCGTCTATAAAGACTCTCTTCAGCTGGGCTTCAGTTCGTCTATAAAGACTCCCTTGAGCTGGGCTTCAGCAAGTCTGTAAAGACTCCCGTCAGCTAGGCTCCAGATCGTCTATTAAAACACTCTTCTCCTAGGCTTCAGATCGTCTATAAAGACACCCTTCAACTGGTCTTCAGCTCGTCTATAAACACTCCCTTCAGATAGGCTTCAGCTCGTCTATTAAGACTACATTCAGCCAGCAATGTATAGTAAAATAAAAATAACTTATTTAAATCCAGTATTTTTGTTAGACGCCCTATTATTCAAAATATCCGTCCGTCTATCCTTCTTCCATCAGTCCTTGCATAACAATGTCATTACTTTGCCCAGTTCTTTGATCCCCTGTCAAGGCTGTACATTAAATCCTGTCAAATTGATAGAGATGATGTACGATTTGTTGTAGTCTGATGGTTGAACAGAAAGGTAAGCTGTTGCAAAAAGTCCATCTCGTTTGTGTGAGAGTGTGTGTGTGTGTATGTGGCTGCCTATCTCTTATTTGTCCTTTGTAATGTACATATGTTTTGTCTGTCACACTTTACCTTTTTGTTTTCATATGCTAAAGTGTTCAGTCTCTCTCTCTAGCTCTTGTCCAAAAAAAAAATATAAACCTCGATGAGACAGTCTTTGAACATTTCAAAGGCATTGCTGCTAATGGCAAGGGTAATGGACGAGGCGGAGGTAGAACGGTAGTAGTGTCACGGAAAACCGGATATTTTCCTCTATCTTTTACTCATTAAAAGTTATGGCGGCAAAAATAAGAAATGAAAATAAGTTGGACAAGGTTTATGCTTTTACAACATGTTTGTAGGCGTATGTCGGCTGTGTGAGCGAGCGAGTGAGTGAATTGATGTTTTTTTGCTGTCATTTTTAATAGACAACTGACAAGAGCTATAGACATACATACATAGAGAAAAAAGAAGATACATTGTTGTCTTTTTTGTTGCTTCAGTGTTCGTCCCCGTTTTTCGGTTTGAGGAGAATGACGGTAATGTGTATTTTTAAACTTTGTTAAGGATGTAAAGGAAATACACAGAGAGAACTCTCCGGCATACCATGTTGCTATGTCGCAAAATTTTTTTTCTGTATAACAACCGGAATAGAGTTTATTTTTATTCTATTGTTATTATGAAAGTATATAATTGGTATATATGTATACTAGGCATATACCCTGTGCATGCCACAAGTATGAATGTATGCATATGTTTTGTGTGTGTTTTTTTTTACATCACATAATCAAAAAGTCTATTGCCATGGAAGTGATATGTAAATTTAACCATGGCATTATAATGCGAGGCATTACAACATAATGGAATTGCTAAAATTGAATTTACATGAATAATGTTTTCGCGCAAAATGGACCCTGTTTTTTTAGAGGATAATGTTAAATTTGTTGTATAAATAAGAGGGCCAAGAGGAATTACTTTAAAATTTTAACAAGTGATTACAATTTCACATTTAAAAATATTTTAATTGCAAAAGTCAAATTAAAAAAAACAGGGCCCAAAACCTATAACTTGTGCTTAAAACTAGAATTTATTTTATCTTCCTTATAAAACTCTCTTTCGCTGTACCTCAAATGGTCATTAAAGGCTCTCTTCAGATAGGCTTCAGCTGGTCTATAAAGACTCTATTCTGCTAGGCTGCAGCTCGTCCTGAAAGTCTTCCTTCAGCTAGACGAGCTGAAGTCTAGGTTTCAGCTAAAAGAACTTCAACTACGCATCAGCTAGTCTAGAAAGATGACTTTCAAATAAGCTTCAGCTTGTCTATAAAGACTTCCTGCAGCCTAGCTTCAACTTGTCTATAAATCTGCTTCTCTGCAGCTCCTTTAAGTTTAAATAAGTTTCCGCTATGTCCAAGAAGTACCCACAAATTGCTCTTCTTAATAAAGTCCATTAATTAAAGATTGTTTTCATAGCTAACTAAATCAAAGTAAAATTGATGGCAATAGAATAACAAATTACCTCCAGTATTCCGCCACCAAAAGAAATGCAAAAGTAAATTATGGTAATTGAAAGAACAACACAAGCGATCACGCACATACTCACACACCCAATCAATTTGTCAATCCTTGCATAAGAAATTGCTTCCTTAAGTGGTCTCATTAAAATACATGACTCTCATTCCAATGAGAATAATCGATAAATACGCCAAAAGATAATCACAATTAAGATGTTAATGAAACACTTTTTTCTTCCTCTCCCTCTCTCTCTCACTTTCTTCTTCCCTTTCTTTTACTTTTAGTTAATCGTTTGCCTTTCGACAACAGTCCAGGCTGCAAAAATACTCAATGCCAGTGAAGCCTTTGACAATACCTGGAGTACAGCCACCGATTTAGAAAATGAACTTGAGGTAAGTATTTGTAAGTGGAATGGGTAGCGAGTAGTTTTTAAATCGTGATTTTCTCATCACGCACAGTGTGTTTCGTCACAGCAAAAACGTTCGGTGAAAGGCAGTAGTAGTTCGAGCAGCAGCAGCGGTGGTTCGGGAAATTCTGGTGCTGGCGGATGGACCGCGTGGTCAGAATGGTCGACGTGTTCCCGCACATGTGATGGTGGTGTTATGCAACAAATTCGTCGCTGTCAAAATGCCAATGGCTGCAAAGGTGACAGTGTCCGGTATCGCATTTGCAATATGCAACCTTGTCCGGAGAAAATTGATTTTCGTGCACAGCAATGTGCGGCCAACAATGATGTACCCTACGATGGAACGTTGTATAAATGGACACCACATTACGATTATGTGGAACCGTGTGCCCTAACATGCAGGTAAGTTTTGTTTATTTTTTACTGAAACAAAATGTAGTTCATAGTTCAGTTACTCAGTAACTTAGCTCAAAGGCTCAAAAATAATAAAATTTTTCTAAATAAAACATCAAGACTCTTCATTTCAATTTTGCACATAGTTGCGTATACGTCATATATCACTTCTACGCCAACAGAACAAATAAAATGGTCTCAACATTTTTTGTGGTATTTTTCTGTCTGTCTGTCCGTTTTGAGGAGAAGATTGGAATGAAAAAAATGAAATATACATTGTGGCTTATGTATGTGAACATATTCAACATATGCAATTATTATTTGCACTTTTCTCCGTATTTTATTATAAACTGTCAACATTAAAAAATATACATCCTCTGATAGTCCATAAATCCTATATTGTCACACAGCACAAGTATATATTTACAAAGTAATAATATACGGTTTATTTTTTTCTCTTGAAGCAATAAATATATCCATGTACGTGTTTTAAATATGCACAACTTATGTTGTTTGTTTTAAATTGTGTTCATTTAAGAAGAAAGAATAAGCAAAGCGTTTCCATTCAAAGAGAGGCTTTGTGGATAGCCATTTCGAAGGGAGTTTTTATAGACGAACTGAAGCCTTGCTGAAGGGAGTCTTTATAGACGAGCTGAAGCCTTGCTGAAAGGAGTCTTTATAGACGAGCTGGAGCCTTGCTGAAAGGAGTCTTTATAGACGAGCTGAAGCCTTGCTGAAGGGAGTCTTTATAGACGAGCTGAAGCCTTGCTGAAGGGAGTCTTTATAGACGAGCTGAAGCCTTGCTGAAGGGAGTCTTTATAGACGAGCTGAAGCCTTGCTGAAGGGCGTCTTTATAGACGAGCTGAAGCCTTGCTGAAGGGCGTCTTTATAGACGAGCTGAAGCCTTGCTGAAGGGAGTCTTTATAGACGAGCTGAAGCCTTGCTGAAGGGAGTCTTTATAGACGAGCTGAAGCCTTGCTGAAGGGAGTCTTTATAGACGAGCTGAAGCCTTGCTGAAGGGAGTCTTTATAGACGAGCTGAAGCCTTGCTGAAGGGAGTCTTTATAGACAAGCTGAAGCCTTGCTGAAGGGAGTCTTTATAGACAAGCTGAAGCCTTGCTGAAGGGAGTCTTTATAGACAAGCTGGAGCCTTGCTGAAGGGAGTCTTTATAGACGAGCTGAAGCCTTGCTGAAGGGCGACTTTATAGACGAGCTGAAGCCTTGCTGAAGGGCGTCTTTATAGACGAGCTGAAGCCTTGCTGAAGGGAGTCTTTATAGACGAGCTGAAGCCTTGCTGAAGGGAGTCTTTATAGACGAGCTGAAGCCTTGCTGAAGGGAGTCTTTATAGACGAGCTGAAGCCTTGCTGAAGGGAGTCTTTATAGACGAGCTGAAGCCTTGCTGAAGGGAGTCTTTATAGACGAGCTGAAGCCTTGCTGAACGGGAATCTTTATAGACGAGCTGAAGTTCAGCTTGAGGGTGTCTTTCTAGACGAGCTGAAGTTCAGCTTGAGGGTGTCTTTCTAGACGAGCTGAAGCCCAGCTTAAAGGAGTCTTTATAATATAGCTGAAGAAAGGCTTTATAGGCGAGCTGAAGCCTAGCTGAAAGAAGTTTTTATAGACGAGCTGAAGCCCAGCTTGAGGGAGTCTGTATAGACGAACTGAAGCCCAGCTTGAAGGAGTCTGCATAGACGAGGTGAAGCCTTGCTGAAGGGAGTCTATATAGACGAGCTGAAGGGAGTCTGTATAGACGAGCTGAAGGGAGTCTTTATAGAGGAACTGAAGCTAGGCTGAAGTGGGTTTTACAGACGAACTGGAGACCATTTGAGGGAGTCTTTATAGAAGAGCTGAAGCCAAGCTTAAATGCCTATAGGCAAGCTTTTTAGACTGTCTGAAGAATAGCTTAAGAGAGGCTTCAAGAGCAGTAGTCTTGCCTAAAGGAGTTTTTATGGACGAGCTAAAGCCATGCTAAAGAGAGTCTTTTAGACGAGCAAATGCCAATCTTTTGGTTTCCTTTCAACTTTTTCTCAAGATTTGAGCGTACCAGTAGTGTATTCCACTGACATTTTGTGTTACAGGAGGTTGATGATGCTGTATCATTAGGGCTACGGATTTTTGTTCTGCCACTCACACTTCGGAAATCTGTATGTGCTGAAATCTGACCAACTGGTTTTACTCTAAATTATAACATTGTAATTGCTAAATTATATCATTGCTTATGTATGCATATTTGAAACATCTATCTTATTCTAAAGTACACACAAATCTTATAAAATATTCATCCAGAATTAAACCGTTTTAAAATATTTTAAATAATTATCAAGATTTTTCCCCCTAAAACTAATTGAAACAATTTATTCTACCCGTTTCTGTCTTCTTACAGAGGTCGTCCGGCCCATTTAGCGGATGATGAATCACCCGAACCCACCGCAGATGATAGTGAACATTATGACGAACTGAGTGTGGTGGTACAATTAAGTCCACGTGTATTGGATGGAACACGTTGTCGGTCTGGCAGCCTAGACATGTGTATACAGGGCAAATGTCAGGTAAGTGTATCACCAACATTAGCAGGAGCTAGCATTACCATAACAATGTGATGTGTGAGACATTTTGTTATTCGTGACATTTTAGACAAATCACCACTACCACCACCATCACCATCGGCGACAACTACAAACAGTGTCTCATGTTTTTTTTTTTTTTTGCATTTTTAAGTAGCGATCATTTGTTAGGGTATGCATACCCTATACGTTGTTAACCACAACAAACCAAAATTATAAATAAATTTCTAAACTTGTATTACTTCGAACAAATTTGAGTTTTGTTGTGATGCCATTATTCATTTTATGTCATATTTTGATGTATTTTTGTGTTGTTGTTTTTTTTTTCTATGTGATTTTATGTTTTTCGTTTTCCAAACATATTCCGTTTCCGATTGTGTTCATGGGGGTTTTATATAGCCAGGATTTCTTACCGCTCTCCCTACCTCTAGCCCTCCTTGTTAGGAGGCTTTGTTTATTGCCTTATTTGTTTTATCACAAATCACTTCCGTTTGCAAGTGTGAATGTGTGTGTTTGTCTGTTTGTCGCTGTGCTCCATTCCGAAGTAATAAATGCCAATATGCCGTTGTTTTTGTGGTTTTACTGGAACACTTCAGCTGGATATTTCCTTTCCAGTTGCGGCAATGAGTTCGTTTTCGCCAGCTAACATTTGTTTTGATCATATTTCAAAGTGTTTTGGTTATGGGGTTCTGTTGTGCTATGAAGGGCGTCCCCTAGATTTTTATGCTCAATTGTTTCGCGTCCCTAGGCAATAGCTAGTAAGAGACAATGCGGTGGTTTGGGAAATTTTTGGATTGATTACCGTGCTTCGCTCAGTTCTGCTGGCAGTGACTTAAAGCTTTTAGCAAACATTTGGAGAGTGAAGGAATGTTTGAACAGCAAATTGCGGCACACGTTTTATGTTTTGTGTTTTTAACATTTCATATAGAATAACTATAATAAATCATTTTAAATATGCATAATTCTTGTAAAAACAAACAAATAGGGTGTTGTTCTTTGTCGTGAAGGATTTTGAAAATGCATTTACGCATGCAACATTGGGTTGATTAGGCGTATATTTTTTTCAAACATTTTCAAGAGTCGTGGATTTTTTTAAAGTTTTTTTTTCAAACAATTTCCAGAGTCGTGGATTTAACAAAAATTATCAAGGACTTCGGGATTTCGATTTTCAGAGGCTTCCAGTGACATTGTTTTTTAATGTTTTTTTTCAACGTCGTGGATTTTTAAGATTTTTTTTAATAATTCTCAAAGGTGTGGATTTCTTTAAAAAAATTCAAACGGCTCCCAGAGCTGGATTTTTGTTAAAAAATTTTCAACGACTCCCAGACGCTTGGATTTCTTTAAAAAATGTTCAACGACTCCCATACGCGTTGATTTTTTTAATGACTTCGGGAAATCTGGGTTTTTGACGACTTCGGTAGTTTTGGATTTTTTAAATATTTGTTCAACAACTTACAGAGGCGTGGATTTTTTTTTTTAACGACTTACAGAGGATTTTTTTGAGGACTTTTGTACTTTTGTTGAATAATTAGCTATAAAAATACCCATTTGACCCAATTTCAGAAAAGTTTTTAGATTTGAGCACCCAATATTTATCCAGCATACCTAACTTCTTGCATCCAAAATTCTACGATTACTTTTAGACCCAGTTTCCAAAACTGTAAACCCAATAAGCCCATATTTCCGCCTTTTTTCCAACAAAAAATATTTTTAAAGTGTAGCATATTTTGTTGGGGGTTTGTTTTATCGTGTCACTAATGCTGTGATTATCATTTTTGATTTATTGCACCAAAGATGTCACCATTTGCTAAGGAAATCGTTTTTATGGCTGCCTGTTTGTTTTTCCGCCCTTCTTTGTCTGCCGTTACTGCTGCTGCTGTTGTTGTCGGGTTTTTGGCAGTAAAAATCCAGATTATTTGTTTATTTGCGGTTTTTTTATATCAACAACAAGAACAACAGCAACAAGGAAACCAACAACAACAAAAAGGGGAACACAAACAAGTCAAGCTGTCAGCATTGTTAGTCGTCTGTGTGTGGATTGGTGGGGGTGGTGTTCGCTTTAGTCGCCTCATTGTTTGACTTTGATTATAAGAATACATAAATAAATTGTATACTACCTGATATTGTAATACTTGAAGCCTATTTACATATTTATGTTTTTATTTGCTGAATTTGTTATTCCGCAGAAGCCTAACTCTCTGTCTCCCACCTCCTAAATTGTTATCACAAAAATTACGTCAAGGTTTTCGTTGTTGTTTTTCGCCATAACTAAATAAATCGAATTTTCTTTCTGTTCTGTTTCTTGCTTTCAGCGCGTAGGCTGTGATTTAAAAATTGGCTCAGCCAAGAAGGTTGACATTTGCGGCGTTTGCGGTGGCAATGGCAGCTCCTGTTCCCAGTCGTTGTATCAATGGGAAACGGTACCGATGTCCCTGTGTTCCGTATCATGCGGTGGCGGTAAGTGGCTTATGTGTATCATTAATATTGACTCGAGATGTCTCGTTTGATTTGTTTCTCTTTGAAATTTAGAAATGTAAATGGAATAAAACATTTTTTGTTTTTCTTAATTTTATACAAGGTGATGTTGTGAGACGTTGTCTTCAAGCATTGCATTTGTTCAAGATTTCAACTGATTTGACTTTAAAATGTTTAAAGCAGAAAAAATACTTCCTTTTTAAAGAAAAAGTTCATCAAAGAACTTCCTTCATCAACATCCTCTTTAGCTCATCTCTTAACTATTTACACACAATTTTTTCCTGAGATTCATCTTCAAGTTTCTTTGAACAAACACTCACACTCAAAGGAACTTTAACACGCATTGACGCACACACACAAACACAATATTTATTTAGTAATTGAGTGGAAATAAAGAAAAGATGCAGCTAAAGAAATGAAAAAAAAACGATATAACTGAATTGCTCACATCCACAAGTCTTTCTCACATCCAAGTACACTTCAGACGGATGGACAGTTGTTGGGATAAATGAAGTGTGTGTATCTGTGTGGTAAACAGGTGATTGATTTTCTAGGGATGTCAGGCATTCAGTACCGGGATGTGTGTGTTGGATAAATAAAGATACACGGTTACAAACAAAAACACATGCAAACGTGCGGAAATAATTTTCTCACTGATTATGTCGATACGATGGTGTTGAAGGGAAAGTATATAGAAAATAGGGGAAATTTCTTAGCTTAATGTGAATCTTTAATATCGATGGATATATCTTTTGAAATCGACATAAGGATATATTTTAAGGATTTTAAAGAATGTTACTTTAAGGCCTATCAGATCCACAAGTGTGATTTTTTAAGGAGTATTAGAACTATAGACGTGGATTTCAATTATCTGAACCATATTTATGAATGTAGTAGCTGTAATTATGACGTTAAAAGCATGTTTTATTTAAAAACATGTTATCTAGGACTTCCAATGATTCTTTAGGTTCAATTAAAACAAAATGAAGACTATTGATTTTTGTGTTTTTTATTTAACTCTCAAGTTTTATTTGTTGTCCGTAAAGCTATGAACTTAAAGGAATTTTTGAGAATAATATATTTATAATTTTATTATATTTCCATAATAATTTTCAAGGTTATTTTAAAAAATATATATATTTTATAAATATATATATATATAAGTTAAGTATAAGTATTATTAAGTGTTTATTAATTCGTCAGAGACTTTTAATGCTATAAACGGCGCTTTTCAAAGAATATACTCAGAAATTTCCGAATTTTTCACAACAAAACTTTTGGAGGCAGTGTTTTTTTTAGAAACATTTTTCTAAGATTTTCCAAATATGTTTTCGATGACATTCGGAGGCGTGCATTTTTCACACATATATTTGTTTAAGGGCATTGGAAGGAGAGGTATTTTTACAAATATTTCTTCAAGAACATTTGGAGCCGTGGAGTTTTTATAAATATTTTCTCAACGACATTCGGAGGAAATTGAATACAAATACTGAAGGCGTAGAATATTTACATTTCTTTCAGTGACATTCGGAGGTGTGGAATGATTCAAATTATTTTTTAGAGAAACTTGGAGGAGTGAAGTATTTACAAAAAATCTTCTAGGACATTTGGAGCCATGGACTGCTTAATTTTTTAAAGATATTATATACGATATTAATATTACGATTTTTTAAGGATTCGGGGGCCTAGAATGTTTACAATAATTTCTTCAGGTAATTCGAAGGAGTAGAATTTTTACAAATACTATTTCAAGTATACTCTGAGGCTAGGATTGTTTACAAATATTTTTGAAGAATATTTGGAGACAAATTTATAAATTTTTTCAATAGTTCCGTTGCAGAACCTAAAAGAATCTACTCATTTTGCATGTTTTGCAACATTTTACTCGAAAGCCGTTCCTCAACCCACAAAAGTGGTAAAACATTGAATCAAATTTAAGAGAGCACAAAACAAAACGTCGTTCTCTTTGTAAACTTTTTACTCGAGAAATTTGGCCTAGTAAAAATGGTAAACAGGAATGCCTACTTCTGTTTGGCTGTTATGTTGATTTCGAAGTATTGCCATCTAATTTTGGCATATTTACTAGATTTGGGTTCTCGAACTTTTTAAATTATTTCGTACTCTGAGAGAAATTTTGAAAAATTTCCCTTTTACTAGATTTACTATTAAAAAAGTACTGGAACAGACCAAATAACATTTAGGAATTCAGTTATGTGTACATTTGTAGGCGGAGAATACTTTTCATGGACATTCGGAAGCCTGGAATGTGTACAATTATTTGTTATGACATTCGGAGGCGTGGAATGATTATCCTTTTTTAAGGAAAGGATGGAATTTTGACAAATATAAAGGAATTCGGAAGCTTGGAATTTTTCCAAATATTTCAAAGACATTTGGAAGCTTGGATTGTTAACAAATACTTTTCAAGGACATTTGGTGATGTGGAATATTTCCAAATTTTGAGGCCTTGAATGTAGACAATTATTAGAAGGCGTGGAATTTTTACAAATATTATTTCAAGTATATTCTGAGACTAGGATTACTTACAAATATTTTTCATTTGGAGGCGTAGAATATTTACTAATTTTTTTTTCAATGAATTCGGAAGTATATATTTTTTATTATAATTATTTTTTCAATGTACCATTCGAATGCCTGGTACAATAACAGAAACAAAGACATCGGTAGGCGAATATTGAAAATTCGTTTTTCAATATTCGCTTAAAAATACTTTAAAAGCCTATTGGAGCAATGACAATATTTGTTTTAATGACTTGCAGAGCTATAAGAGAGCAATGTTTTAAAACAAGCGTATGTTTTAGAAGTATGTTTTGAAGGACTTTTTATAAACATTCAACAAAGGACACTCAAAGCTAAAAGTTTAAATTTTCATGAATGTATTAAATGACTTGTTTTGGACTTAATGGATATAATTTTAGGGACCCTTGGGGATTTCAGATTTTCATATTACGACGATGATTCCCATAAGAATATCTTATACTTTCCCCTGAAAAATTATGTCCTTTTTGATTTTAAGTCATTTTCGATTTTTCAAATTCTAAACAAATTCAATAGCCCCTTATAACTACCTTTGAAGGTTGTAACAACCATTTCATTAACGTTTATTGACTTTCATTATTGTTTTGAAGAGTTGATTTAATCCTCCTTTCAAAATAAACACTTCAAATGACAAAACACAAAGAACAACAACATCAACACCGGCACGAAACAACGAACGTAACTTTAACAACAATGAAGTAAACAATAAAGTGTTTAATGATCGAGAATAATAAACTAGAAACGTAACTGAATAGTCTGCGACACTCACACTATTCCACGTTTGTGGCAGTCACGTTTGTTTGACTCGAAACGATTTCGAGTGACATTCAAATATTTTTGCATTTAATGACAATACAAAGCCTTCAACAGGGCGCAGGATGGTGGGTACAAATAACTATAGAACATTCGATTGTCTTTGTTGGTGTTATTGTTACTTTCTTGCATTCTTGGGATATGGAAATTTACCTTTGACACGCAACATGAAATAAAAATAAACAAAAAAAGAACAAAACTGAAAGTGGCTAAAATAGCAGAGTTTAGTGGCTGTATAGAGAGCAAGAGAGGTTAATAAATAATAACAATTTATTCATTGAACAATCTATGATTGACAACAGAAATTGAAACGAAAAGTTATAGAAATACGAGTACAATATTCAATAAACAAATATTTCATTTGTAATAGTCGATTTGTTCTTCCTTTTTTCCGTTCCTTTTGAATGGAAATAAAGGACAAGACCAAGAAGTACCAAGACGCATTCAGCTAAAAAAAATGATAAACAGCATAGCGTGACAATTGATGTCAACAATTTTTTTTATCGAGTTGTTACCACCTCCTCCTGAACTCCCGCCCTAAATATTTGTGGTAACACAATACCCACCCGCAACAGTGACCTATTTCTCCAATGCAATGGTAATTACTTGTGCTCACCTTTAACAACTGGAAATTGATGTTATGACCCCAACTTATAAATATTAAATTATTTTTAAATTATAACCTAAATTAAGGGTTTGACTCACTGAATACACTGATGGACTACAATTTCATATTTACAAATATATTGTTTTTTGTGTCGTAGTCTATTTAATTATTGAAATCAATTTATTTCTCATTAGTGCCGTATGTCCAATTGACAGCGCATTAATGGTGGATGTTCCGAAATCCCAAACCGCAAATTAACAACTACAAGTGGCTAATTGACCTTCAGGGTAAAAAGGAAGTGACAAATGTTAGCCTTTTGAATAGAGTATATAATGTTAAGGTAGCTAGAGTATACAAGATTAAGGTAGTTTTTGAAAAAAATATATTAGCTTGGGGAAAAAGAAATCCATTATTTTTATATGAACTATAGGAATTTATTAACCATGCTACGAAATGTCCGATTTAGGCCAAATATGCACCGTTTTGTTGTATGATTTGTTGTCATTTTAAAGGTAACTTCATAAAGCCTCTCTCATAGAAGTTCTGCTCTCTAATTGTAAAATAATTCGAGTAGTCGATTTTTACAATCCTTTTATCATTTTTTCATTAAAGAAATTTTGCAATGCAAGAAAAAGATAATAATCGCTTGGTTCAAAGGTGGCATTTCACAGTTATTTTGGTAATAATTATATGTAAGGTCCTTCCATATATCTAAAATGTGTAGGGCCTTGATTTTATTCTGCGAGGATTCATATAATTTTCAAATATTTGAATTGGGCCGAGGATATTATATACAGTATGTAGGGGGGAAATTCAACTATATAAAGCCTTTCGGGACTCTTATAAAAGAATCTAATCTACATAAAGAATATTTTGTGGGAATGTTTCTTAACCTTTGAACAGCGGAGTACCAAATTACAGCCACAAAGGCTGGAAAATAAGGCTAGGATTATGAAAACACCTCAAATAGTGCCGTTCAATTTAATCAGGACTATTTTATAAGGAAGCCACAAAAATTGAACTGTCTCGACATAGAAAATGTTCTGCAAGGAGGTTTATTTATTCTTAAAAAAATAAACTAGTCAGCGGAGCAGTATAGTCGGACGGGGCCGACCATATGATACCCTACACAACTTCGACGAAAATATAACTTTCTGTAGTTCTATATTCTGAGCTTGGGCAATATTTCGCGATATTTGCACCCTCTTGGCCGACCAGATGTCAACAAATATTACTAATACTCAGCACAGCCCTTCTAATTACTTGCCCAGATTCCCTTCATCGTGAGTTGTGTAGTGATGTTCGGCTTTCAATTGTGACCTATAGATCGAAACAAAAAAAATAGTTTTCGGTCCATTTCATCCCGGTCCACTTCATGACCATAAATGGAACCTGATAGAACATTGGTATTAAATTATTAAATAATATCTGAATACGTAAACACCTGTAAATATTTAAGTGTAACTCCCACATCGGAGTACATACGACAATGTAATTGGTATAAATTTAAAGGTCAACCACTCCTCTTGAACATACTATCTATGTCCTTCAGGGGTAAATATATACGTCATAGAATACAAGTCAGGGCCTATTTGACCCGCTAAATATTGACCACTCTTTATCAAAGTAGGCATACCTATTCTTTGGCCCAATTCCCTTCTCCATGTAAAAATTCGAGATGTTTGGGCCATAATTGCGGCCTCTGGAGCGACCAGAAAAAGCGACAAAAATAAAGTTTTTGGTTCATTTCATCCCCTAAATATTAACCGATCTTTACCAAAAACAATAGGGGTCTTCATTGCCCAGAACCGGTCCTACATGGACAATTTCGTGAAGACTGGTCCATAACTGTGGCCTGTATAGTGTTTACAGACGGACACACATGTCTAGATCACATTTCTAGATCGACTCAGCTAGTCGAGATATGACCATCGGTATACTTAAAGGTGGGTCTAGGACCAATATTTCGCGGCGTTACAAACTCTTGGGGCTGCACAATGCTATAATACGCTGACAACATAGTTGTGTAGGGTATAATGACATATTGCAGAAACTAAGTGTGGAAAATGGTTTGGATCTTCATCATGCCGGATATTTGGTAGCTAAAAAGGCATTTTTTGACACTGTAAATAACCGTAACTCTAACCACCGACATATATAAAACCAGATATTTTGTGTTTATACAATTATACCCCCCACGGACTTAACGAAGTTTCCACTCTCGGACGATTTTGGGATTTTATCCGCTAAATATAATATGAAAGTCTTTGGCTGTCTTTCATCGACAGAACAAATTTTGAACTGCTCTTTTATTAGATTTGAATATGAACGGTGTACTCAAATGTGGGTGTTGTAAACATTGCGACCGAAACATGGATATAAATATCTTCATTTGTATAGCCTATACAACTATGTTGTCAGGTATAATAGCTTTGTGTAGCTTCAAGAGCTTGTAACACCGCGAAATATTGGTCATAATAAGTCGTCATATCTCGACAATCTGAGTCGATCTAGACATGTGTGTCCTTCCGTCCGTCCATCTGTCCGTTATAATTTGTAAACACCATACAGGTCACCGGTATTGACCAATCTTCACGAAATGAAGAAGGACCGGTTATTATCAAAGAATAATCCTATTGTTTTTGGTAATGAACGGTAAATACTTAAGGAATGAAGTGGGACAAAAAACTTTATTTTTGTGGGGTTTTCTGGTCGCTTTAGAGGTCACAAAAATTAGCCGAACATCACCAACTTTTACATTGTCTAAAATATATTTATTTAGGAACGTTTTTTTTTTTCAATTTAATTAAAAATATTCTTTATGAAAATCTCGGAATTGGGGAACTTTAAGATTTATTTTAAATAACCAGATACGTTATTTTGATTAAAACAAAGTACGAAGTTCAAAGTAAAATTTACGAAATTGAACTATCTCTATTACAGTCATAAATTTTTCATCACAAATAATTCATATTTCTCATAGACTCTCAACGTATAAATTACCAAACTAGGACCCTCACTCCTTCAAAATACTACAAATTGCTACTCTTGTCCATTGATTTTCTTTGCAATTATTTGATAAAGAAGTTCGTTCATTTTTTTCCTTGCAGTTTAGATTTTCTTCTGCCAGCAAAGCCTGCCTTTCCTATTCCGAATATTGTAAACTTTTATAAAAGTAAATCTCCTTAGGTCTTCAAACATTTTATTTTTTATGACCAAAAGCGAAAACATTTCATAATTTGCAAGTAAAGTAGATATGGTAATTTGTACAACAACAACTACTACAAAAAAAAAAGAAAAAATTGAAAGCACTTCGGTCAAAGTTTATTGACATTGTCAATGTACAACTTGTTGTTGATCTTGTTGTTTCTGTGAAACTTTGTTAAAACTTGGACAGATGTTTTGTTTGTTTTGTAAAGGCCAACTTGTAAAGTACCTTGGTAACATAGAAAAAAACTCGGCTAGGGGTTCCACCAAAATCATTTCGCCCTTAAACGCTTTTTAAGCGTTTGTACTTGTAATTTAACGGCTACTATGGCACGCGTTTAGAAAAATCAATCTTTCAACATGAGTTTATTTTAGGCGGGTCGAGACATAATAATGCGGTATATTAAATTTGTTTTTCCGTTTGTAACTTATCGAAATAATCATCCGACCGACCCTATAAAGTATATATATTCTTGATCAGCGTAAAATTCTATGGTGATTTAAGCATGTCCGTCAGTCTGTTGTAATCACTCTAGCGTGTTAACGAATTAAGACAGATCGCAAAAATTTTGCATAGAATCTTTTGTTTTTGTCTGCAGGGTAGCCCCCATATAAGGGTATCCCCAATTTTCGGTAATTTGGGCGTATTTTTCGACCGAATTGGCTGTAAATTAGTATCTTATTGGGTAGCAAATCTCTTCACAAAAAACTATAAAAATAGGTCAATTTTTCCGGGTATCACCCAGATAATAGTACCCCACATTTTTAGTATTGTGGGGTTCTTGAGCGCATTTTTCAACTGAATTGGCTGAAATTTGGTACATTGGGTTCTTTTTTGGTACTAAAACTCCTCACTATAAGGGTATCCCCAATTTTCAGTATTTTAAGGTCCTTGAGCGCGTTTTTCAACCGATTTTGCTGTAATTTGGCATTTTGTAGTAATCTCCCAACCAAAAATTATTCATATTTACCCTTTTTTAAGGGTATTCTCTTCCGTGTGATGGGGTTGTCCCCATATAGACGTATTCTACTATAGTATGGGGCATATTCGTTACTCGAAATTGTCAGTTTTTACCTTACAAAATAAGGATATCGTGATAAAAAAAAATCAAACCTGACGATACTGAAATATATCGGTCACTATTTAGGCATCTCCTCCACATAATGATACTCCCTGAAAAAAATAATTGAGATACAAAACTAAAATATTGGGTTTGAAATTGAGCTATATATCGGTCATTACTTAGGCATAGCCCCTCATATATTCGCTAATTCCTGCACTATGTAATGAATATTGGTAAACCTTTAGGTGTAGCTTCATATAGCTTTGAACTGTAAAAAATCTAAATAGCGCTGTCGATATCGGTGCACGTTTTGAGGTTTTCAGATTTTACATAATTCGGTTTACATAAATCGTTTTGTAGAATTGCCAGCATGGGTCCACATTTTGATGGTGGAGGGTATCCGAATTTCGGCCCGGCCGAACTTAGCGCTTTTTCATTTTTTATTTTTAAATAAGCCTCTACTTACAATTTACCATCCAAGCAGGGACCTTGTTAAATACACATATATAAATAAATGCAGATAAGGGCATGGGCATACCATGTTAAAAAAAATGCATTTATATAGGCCTCAGATTACCCTAAATATTGGCCTCATTTTACCCAAGAAATACGTCTAACTAAGAGTTCATAACTCCACATGGCAACAACCCCCCCCCCCCCCCCCCCTTTTTCAGGCTCATCACTCCAATTTTTATTTAAACATTTTTTTAAATAAATTCTTAAATTTTTATGTTAATGCCTCAAACAACATTCCCCGCTCATTCGTTTTTGCACCAAATAAAATTTGAAAATTTACAGTTTCCTTGATGTCAGTAACTTATTTGTTTTCTTCTTCTTTCTTTTCGTTGGTTCTACATTCTTTTCATGTTTCCTTTTTTGTGTGTGTGTTTTCAGGCTATAAGATGTCTCGTGTTGTATGTCGCAGTCGTGTCTCTGGCACCGAAGTGGAGGATGCCTTGTGCAATGCAGCTAATCGCCCTGAACCATCTGTGGAACTGTGTAACACCCATACCTGTCCGCCCAGGTAAGTAAAGCAAAAGTTTTGTTCCCGGTACATTGTTAGGCTGTGGTGAGGTATGTCAGTTACTCCCAAAAAAAAACTAGTAACTGTCGTTTGGAAAACAAGATTTAGTAGAATTTGTTATTTTGGTGGAGTACGAGTAGGAACAGCAGTTGGAGTTGCAGGAGTAGGAGGCTAAAATGTCAAGATATACCAGTGATGGTTTCAATGGAACACATTTCATGGAGACATTTCCTAGTTGATTTTTTCCACCATCAACCCCTTTTGTATGTTATTGAGCATTGTGATGTATTCGTGAGTAGTAGGTGACTTGTCATTACTGCTCCTACCTATATTCGTTGCATTTCACTTTTTTGTTGCCCCCCACTTGCAATTCTTCGCTCGCTGTACTGTGCTGCGCTCTGCTGTTTTTCCATTGTAAATGTGGCAGTTTTGTTGGTTAGCTACCGCAAAATGTAATTTAACGTTTCACAGGAGGTTTAAACTGTAATTGAAGTTTAACATTCGTTCGTTGCCTGCACAACAAAACATGCAAACCCAACAACCACTGCTGCTGCTTAGCATAAGAAAATTAAATATTTCATGGCAAAACTAATTGGATATTGTGAATGCCATCCAAATGAACCCAAGACTAAAATGAATCAAATGAGACCATTTTTCCAAATGCAACATAATTGAATGGGAAAATCAATTGCAGTGAAATAATAATAATGGACTCGGTATAGGAGAAAGGTAATTTTTATTAAAGGTCATTAAATATGTCTACTGGCCTAATAAAATATTTATTCAAAAACGCGGAATACAATGTCAACACTGGAATTGAGATGATTTTTATTAGAGATGAGTGTTTGTTGAATGAAAATAAATTTTAAATATTTGGATCAAATATGAAAACATAAAATTAAATATAAAAAATAATTTAAAAAAACTAAACACATTCGAAAACTAAACTCATTTGACGGCTGGCATGATTTCTGATCGCTGGAACATCCGAATCATAAAATGACAACACAATTAGAAATAGTACATATCTGGCTCTGGTATGAATTAGAATTATCGACATCGCTCGAAAATTAGCAAAATGGCAGACCTAGGAAAATTATTTTTTTGGAAAACCACGTATTTTCGATTAAAAACCAAGCTGGAAAATAAGGATGATCTTCACCGATAGGGTGAAGGATAAAGTTTATACTATAGCTATGTACAAAACGGGTTGAAAATAGGTAATTTTTTGGACAGATTGTTAGAGGGAACCCCAGTCACGATTTTCAATGAGATGGTAAATGAATACAAATGAAAGATTATATTTCAACATTTATAAGGGACTAGCATATACCCGCTACTTCGTCAGCGAATGTGGGAAGTATTTAAAACCCAATACCAACCAATATTAACACTTTTAAAACCGTTTAGTACCAATGTTCTCTTATAGTACTCAACCCTACACACAAATTCTGACCGCAAAATAAATCAAGCACCATACAAAATTTTGTGTCATTTAGTAAAATTTCCAAATTTCAAATATAGCTTCACCCAAATCCAAATTAAGTACCAGTTAGTAAACATAAATATATAAATTGTCATAACTTCCTACATTAACATACGAATTTCCAACACTTCCCACATACCCCAATCTTAATTTCAAATTTCAGGATTCTATCGGTTCACCTAAATCCAATTTGTTTCAAATTTAGTGCCATTTAATACACATAGGTACAAATTTGCATTACTACCTACATCATGCAATCCAATGAAAATCTTATTACTCAATTTCAAGATTTCAGCTCTATCGGTTAACTTTTAATCCAAACTGTGCCAAATCTAGTGCCATTTAGTACACATTAGTAGACATTTCCAAAACTTCCTACATACCCCTTTCGAACCCCCCAACAGTGATCCTAACCACCATTTGGTACCATTTAGTAAACATTATTACGAATGTCCAAAACTTTCTACATAGCCCAATACTACACCCCGACAGTGATCCTAACTTCAAATTTCAAGATTCTAGCTCTATCGGTTTACTCAAATCCACATTTGGTACTATTTTGAAACTGTAACCCTAACTCCAAATTTCAGGATTCCAGCTGTATTGGTGCACCAAAAATTTAAATTGCACAAAATTTAGTACACATTTGTACGAATTTTTAAAACTTCCTACATACCCCAATCCTACACCCCCACAATGATCCTAAATCCAAGTTTCAAGATACCAATTCTATCGGTTCGCCCACAATTCAAACTGTACAAAATTTAGTACAAAGTAATACAAAATTTCAACACTTCCTACATACCCCGGTCCTACACCCCCACAGTGATGCTAAATCCATGTTTTAGGATTCAAACTCTATCAGCTCACTCACAATTCAAATTGTACCAAATTTAGTACACAGTAGTACTAATTCCCAAACTTCTTGCATACCCCAATCCTACCCCCCACACTGATCCTAAATCCAAGTTTCAGGATTCCAACTCTATCGGTTCACCCACTATTTAAATTGTACCAAATTTAGTACACATAAGTACAAATTTTTAAAGCTCCCTACATATCTCAATCTTAAACCTCAACAATGATCCTGACTCCAAATTTCATGATTCTAGCTCAATTGGTTCACCTAAAATTCAAATTGTACCAAATTTAGTACCATTTAGTACGAATTTCAAAAACTTCCATCTTAACTCAAACCAACACCCCCACAGTGCTCTAAAATCTAAATTTCAGGATTCCAACTCTATCGGTTCACCCACAATTCAATTTGTACCAAATTTAGTACCATTTAGTACGAATTTCAAAAACTTCCTACTTAACTCAAACCAAAACCCCTACAGTTATCCTAAATCCATGTTTCAGGATTCCAATTCCATCGGTTCACCCACAATTAAAATTGTACCAAATTTAGTACACATTAGTACAAATTTTTAAAACTCCCTACATATCTCAATCTTAAACCTCAACTATGATCGTGACTCCTGACTTGGTTCACCTAAAATTCAAATTGTACCAAATTTAGTACCATTTAGTACGAATTTCAAAAACTTCCATCTTAACCCAAATCAACACCCCCACAGTGCTCCAAAATCTAAATTTCAGGATTCCAACTCTAACGGTTCACCCACAATTCAAATTGTACTAAATTTAGTACACAGTGGTACGAATTTCCAAAACTTCCTACTTAACTCAAACCAACACCCCCACAGTGATCCTAAATCCAAGTTTCAGGATTCCAATACCATCGGTTCACCCACAAATTAAATTGTACCAAATTTAGTACACATTAGTACAAATTTTTAGAACTCCCTACATATCTCAATCTTACACCTCAACAATGATCCTGTCTCCAAATTTCATGATTCTAGCTCAATTTGTTCACCTAAAATTCAAATTGTACCAAATTTAGTACCATTTAGTACCCATAAGTAATAATGTCTTAAACTGAGTCCTGACCCCAATCCTACACCCCTACAGTGATCCTGACTCCAAATTTTATTGTTCCCGCTCTATCGGTTCACCCAAATCCAAATTGTACCAATTATAGTACGATTTAGTACTTTTCGCACACATAAGTAACAAATTTCCAAAACTACGTACATATCACAATCCTATACTCCGACGGTAATGTTACTTTCAATTTTCAGGATTCTAGCTCCATTTGTAGCTCCAAATCAAATTTGTACCAAATATAGTACCATATAGTACTTTTCGTACACATGAGTACACGGTTTCAAAACCATCTCCTTATATCGACCCTACTTCCCAACCCTAATTCGCATTCCAAATTTCAAGTTTTTAGCTCTATCCGTTCTCATGCTACAGAATTGTACCAAATTTAGTACATTTTCGTACATTTCGGATAGTTATAGTTCGAATTTCCAACAACCCTTTGGTACATCTATTCTACACTCCATCATCGACCACCAAACCAAATTTCAAAGTTCTAGCTCCACCGGTTCGCCAAATACAAATGGCATCACATTTAGTACGTTTTAGTACTTTTCGTACCCTTCTAGTACGAATTTCCAAAAACCCAGCCTTATCTGTCACATTTGGGCCAAGAGTGACCCTCACCCAAAATTTCAAGATTCTAGCTTCAGCCGTTTCGTCTGGGCGTTGATGAATCGTTAAATCAGTCAGTCAGTCAGTCAGTCAGTCAATCACTTTACTCTTTTATTAGTATAGATTACAAAATTTTGTTGTTATTAATTAGCGAAAAGTCCTTATTTTTAATGGAACATCGGAATCCAAAAATTCAAATGCATGTCTCCTATGAACTAGGATTATTGACAACGCACAATAAATTTCTAAGATTTGTTGAGATTTTCACTTGAAATTTTAAAGGGGCATTAGCTTCAAATAAACTAGCCAAAATTATGTTTTTGAACCAAGAATATAAATTAATTAAAATATTACGATCTGTGAAATTTTGATATATCGTATACTATATAAGCTTTATTCATATATGTGTACACGTTTTAAAAATGAGAACCGTATGTTCTTCCTATTCTACGTTGACGAATTGTTGGTATAAAACATTCGGAGGAGTATTCTAAATGTGGACTATTCTGTTTTCAATATTTTCAATAACAATGTTTTTGATATTGATGTGACATTTGTATAGCCCCCATCACAAAACTGTGGTATAGGGTATTATGTCTTTGTGAATATTTTTGTAACATGCAAAAGGAAGCAAGATATACACATGGTTCCTTTTGAGAATATGCGTAGAATCACTTTCTGAGTCAATGTATGCACGTCCGTCTGTCTATGTATTTTTGTGAGCAAAGTACAGGTCGCATTTATGATACAAATAATATGAAATTTTGCACAACTCATTTATTTGGACCAAGGACGAACCCTATTGAAATTGGAGAAAATCGGTTCAGATTTAGATATAGCTCTCATATATAGTATCGTCCGATTTTATGTAAATGGTGTACCATGCTCCCAATGTTTGTCCGATTGAGACAACATTTTTCTCAGCGTACTGAATTAAGTCCAGTTTGATGTTTGTAAAGTTTTGATGTTTCTGAAGTTTTGATTTTTGTGAAGTTCTCGCTTCGAGCCAGAAGGAGAGATATTTATAAGCCGATATAAACATACAAATAATTACATTTGCATAAATTACAATGAAATTGGAAACTGTTTGAAAATATTGGTCCCATAAAACTTATTACTCATATGGGAACAACGTGAATCAGTCTAGATACTCAGTTTGTAATTATAAATTGTAATCAATTTATAAGCTAATAGTTACAAGAACATATAGTCCCAACGGACATTTCAAAATTGTGTTTCAAACTTAAGGATTTTTATATGAAAGCATTGAATATATTTTTTACTGATGGTTGTCAGTAATGTTCTGCAAAAATGGCGATATTGCTAATACTTTTAACAGTCATGTTCCTATGTATGAAATGTTTGTTTTACTTCAATGTGTGGTTTGATCTAAGGATAGAAAAGAAGTTTCAGAAGTTTCAATGTTTATTGTAGTGCTGTAGATTGCGTTATTTATCAGAACTGTTCACGTACTTTAAATGAAAAAAATCCTCTTCTATAAACATATCTCCTATTTCTTTCAAAATCCAAAATTTGTGATTACCATCTAAAAATTATACAGATTAACTTCTTCCTTTTTGGGGACATTAACTACCAGTTAACCTTTCTAATTTTGCTGATAATAATTTAATTTTTCAAAAAAAATATTAACTTGTTACTAATTGTATTATGTCATTGTTCCTGTACTCTTTTTCTAAACCAAAAAAAACTTTGTCTCTTGCAGATGGATAGCGGACGATTGGAGTCCTTGTCATCGTCCCTGTGGTCCAGGAATACGCACCCGTATGGTTGTGTGTGCCGAGGAGAACAATGGCCTGAAGACAAGAGTAAGTTTTTGAATGCAGTTTTTAGGTTGTTATGGCCAGCAAGTCTTTTGTGTGCTATAGTGCCAGAAGAAAAACAAAAAATAAACCAGGAGAAGAATGGGGCAAAAAAAGTTAAAATTAGACATCGTCCTGAATTGTATAAAGATGTCGAGCCAACGAACGAGTAGCACCACAACACACTACTCCACAGCAAAGCCAAGCAACATTAATGTTTTTGGAAGTTTCCTTGAGGGCATTTAGCGCCCAAACTAGTTTTCGGGTTTTCGTTTTTTTTCTGTCCAAAGAGTTTGGCTGTGCCCAGACTTTGGGGACAAAATTAAAATTAGAAACTCTCTGGGCTTTGTGCGAACGTTGTGTGTGTGTGTCTGCAAGTCCTGTGTTGGCCTAAAACTAAGCCAGGCAACTTTGCCATAAAAAGGATGATGACATTTTCTAAATGTCTTGTAAATGCTGCTGTAAAACAACCACTAAAATTAGCCAGCTAATTTTGCAGCAAAACTCATTGTTCATCTCCCTTTTTATTTTTTGTTTTTATTTTTTTCGGTGCTATTTAAGCCTAACTCTTGATGATGGCCATCATCAGAAAAACATTTTAAATATACTTTCATTTTCTTTTCTTTTTTTGTGTGTATGTGTTTGTGTGTTTTCCAGGTTGCGGACTCTTTATGCCCTTTACCAAAACCACCAACTCAAGAGCAGTGCATTATAGCCGAATGTCCAAAGTGGGAAGTTGAAAAGTGGTCTAGCGTAAGTATTTTGGTATTTTTTTCCCACCCATCGCCATCATTGCTGTGATTATAATCTCCATCCGTAGTAGCTGGCAAGAAGTATTCATGCGGGCCTTTAAATTTAAAATATTTTGGATAGTTTTCTTTTTTATATTTTAAGCCTGTCTAGCAATAAACCGTAAGGTAGAAGCAATGCGAAACTGTGGCCTTATGGTAAAATCTACAGTTTCTGGGAAGGTTTTATATGCCTTAAGTGGTTTCCGAGAAGTGTTTTTGGGTTGGTTTGTGGCTGGCTAGTCGACCAGCCTGGTTAGATGATCTTAGCTAAGTACTGCTGCAGTGTTTAAACATAAATTTGCAAAAAAGGTTAACCAACAACTTCAGTGCAATATCTTACCTCCATGCCACAGCAGCAACAAAACATAGACATGTTCAACAACATAATTTGAGTTAAAAGGGGGTAATAATGGGTTTCTTTTGTAAAGGAACAACTATTGAGGAGATGTGTAACCTTCACATTATTTTTTGTGGAATATACAGTTTACACAATTCTGATAGCTTTATTAAAGGCATAAGTAAATTTGGAAAATATTTAAAACCCATAGCCAGGCCTATCTGTGGATTATCAATTTTCAAAATTTAATTATTCTCGCTGAAAATGTTAAACATCTTTTATTTTCATCATTCAAATTACACACAACATGAACACCAGTAATTTCGTTTCACTTTTATTCACTCAACGCCAGTCGAATGCCAAAAAAAAAATGAAAAAACGACAACCCAAACAACGTGAACAGCAATAACAATAAATGCATGAATGTTGAATGTGTATGCGTGCGTGCGTGTGTGTAGGCGTTTGTATGTACTATATCAACCATGAACCACAAACCAAGAAAAATTTACATTAAGATCAACATTAACATTATTTTTTCAACACATTTCCTTTCCAATTTTCTCCGGAATCATAATAAAGTTGTCCTGCCACAACAACAATATCATCATCAGATATTCACATGAACGTGTATAAATAAAATAAAACATATGTATGTATGCATGTTTGGACGTATGAATTTGTGTATTTTTTAAATAAGATCTGTATCAACTGAAGAAAATAATTCTGAAATGTTCCATTAGCGGAATTGAGGATTTTGAATTTTCTACAAAATTTGGGATATGACAATAGAACCATGGACACTATGAAAACATATTTTAAAAATCTACGTCTTAGGGTATTTGAATATCCTTCAAAAAATATTTAAAAAAACTACGTCTTAGGGTCTTTGACTATCATTCAAAAAATATTTAAAAAATCTACGTTTAGGGTCTTTGACTATCCTTCAAAAAATATTTAAAAAAATCTACGTCTTAGGGTCTTTGAATATCCTTCAAAAAATATTTAAAAAATCTACGTCTTAGGGTATTTGAATATCCTTCAAAAAATATTTAAAAAATCTACGTCTTAGGGTCTTTGAATATCCTTCAAAAAATATTTAAAAAATTTACGTCTTAGGGTCTTTGAATATCCTTCAAAAAATATTTAAAAAAATCTACGCCTTAGGGTCTTTGAATACCCTTCAAAAAATAATTAAAAAATCTACGCCTTAGGGTAAATATTTTATTAAAAAAATGTACGCCTAATGGCCTTTGAGTATCCTTCAAAAAATATTTAAAAAATCTACGCCTTAGGGTCTTTGAATACCCTTCAAAAAATATTTAAAAAATCTACGTCTTGGGGTCTTTGAATATCCTTCAGAAAATATTAAAAAAATCTACGTCTTAGGGTCTTTGAAATCCTCCAAAAAATATTTAGGGTCTTTGAATATCCTTCAAAAATGTTTAAAAAATCTACAGCTTAGGATCTTTAAATATCTTTCAAAAAGGCTTACTATAGCCTTCAAAAATTATTTAAAAAATCGACGCCTTAAAGCCTCTGCATGGCCTTCAAAAATTATTTAAAAAATCCAAGCCTTCGTGGCTTTCTATAGCCTTCAATTTCAGTCTTTTTTTCTCACGTATTTTTCAGATTTTTTCAGGGTCCTATCATAACATGAGTTTTCTCCTAGGAGCCCCCATTAATTTTAGATATTGGATTGTCATCCGCATTGTGGAGCGTATAAAATATTTGGCCGGGCCGAAGTTTATATTTTCTCACAAGCCCTATTTGAGGTGTTTTAAATGTCCAGCTTATGATGTAGGGTATAAAATGTTCGACCCAGCCTGTTAATTGCAATGCCCCCTTTTCTCCAAACTTAAACCATAACAATTCAGACACCCTGAACTTCATATCTTTGTGATAAAGTCAAATAAGAAAATTACGCAAATTTTTTTTTTAATGTTTTTCATCCCAGGACACAACATTAATATGTAATGTTTTTTCCTCCAGAAAATTGTTGTCAGTCTCTGGCGTGTTTGCCAATTCCTCTTTTTTTCTTCTTAACAATTTACATATGTACGACTTTATGCAGATTATCTTATAAGACAGCGTAATGCAAACTTGTACGTGAACAACGTAAATTTGCCACAAATATTACAAGCAATCTAAAGCAGGAAACACACAAACAACCAACAAAGAAAAAACTACCTCACAGTTAAATGCCTAACTTGATGACTGGCACCCTTCAGGCACAACCATAATAGAGCTGTGGTAGCTGCAATGACGGCAGACAAAAAAAAACACGAAGCGAAAACAAAAAGTGATGCCGACAATGAATAAAAGCAAATGAAGATTGTTGGTTATCTGAGTGTCTGACTGTCAGTTTGCCATCTAACTCACACACACACACACACAGTCGAGTGTGTGTTTTAAACGTCAGCCATAAACTAAGTCAGTTACTCTGGGTTTTAGTTAATATCGCTAACATGTCTCACACTCCCACACCCACTCCCATTTCCATACCAGCAGAGCAAAGTGCTCACGTAAAATATGTCTGACTGACTGACTGTGTATGTGCTTATTCTTTTTTCTGCATTTCTTCTCTTTATTTCTCATTTCTCATGCAAACACCATACGAAACGTACCAAAAGTGTTCAGAGTCCTGCGGCCAAGGAATACAGATGCGTAATGTCGAATGTAAATCAGCCGATGGCGGTTTAAGCGCCAAATGTGATCCTCTGACAAAACCCTCCAGCGTACAGCAGTGTACGACGGGCATACCATGTGAGTCCGCATCGGTGAATGTGGGTGGCGGCGGCACAATTATTGTGGGTAGCAGTGGTCCTCGGGTGAGTATTAAATACTAAGAGGGGAGACAAGAATTAAACAAAATGGAAATATCTCATATAACATATTAAAGTTGACAAATAGAAACATATTCCGCCATGATGACTCATTTTTTAATTTTTATTTCCACTTTCATTTTTAAGGATCCTTTAAATGTTGACGATGAAGAAGAAGATTTAGTCGATGAAGATGAGGATGATGAAGATGATACCTCGGAAATGGAAGATGACGCCGATGATGCTTCGTATAATGACCAACCGGTATATTCACATCACACAATGAGTCGTCTGCATCAGGAGGAACCAGATGGACCGCGTATGATGCGTTTACAGTCATCGTCACGTTATCGTTCAGCGGAAGCAAGACCATCGGAGCCAACGTAAGTTTTTTTATTTATTATTAAACATATATATATAGTTATTATGAAATACAATTGTCCATTATATCAATAACAATTTGAGACAAAATCGAGGTCATGATCTGGAGAGTGGAAAATTCTTATTGGGGATGATAAACCTTAGCCATTATTTAAAATCCCCAGAAGCTATATATTGACTTAGAGCTAATGTATGTGTTTTATAAGATTACATTCCTCCAATAAAATCGAATGAGAAATTTTTGTGTAGAACATTTTATTTGTCTAATTCGATTCCTTGGGTGCCCTATTTGTTCTTAATTTACCCCTTAAGGGCCAATTCTAACGTTTTAAGGGACAATCCCTATTTTCCCCGTTTCTTGTAACTAAAACCCTATATATAAATTCAATATACAATCCGTATTATTTAAAATGAAGTAAAAATAACCGGGTTTCTATTTTTTGCGATATATGCATATCATTAGAAAGCTAGAGAACAAACGTGCTAAATTTATTGAACCGGTCTAGAATTCTATAATTATTTCCAATTCATAATTCTGTCGAAAAATTAACATTTGCGATCTTCTGGAGGTCTTTCAACTACGAAACCTATTTTTCTGGTCTTGCCTGACCCTGTCTGGCACACCTGGGTTTTATCATTTTACTACATATAATTATTGTAGGGGGGATATATTACATTTGACCAACAATTTGGGGTATAGCGTATTCTATTTGAGGACTGGTGAAATTCGAGTCGGATGCCAAATAAAAATAACAATTGTTAAAAAAAATCCACGCCTTAGGGCCTACCAAGGAGCTATAAAAATTGTTAAAAAAAAATCCACGCCTTAGGGCCTACCAAGAGGCTATAAAAGTTGTTAAAAAATCCACGCCTTAGGGCCTACCAATAATAAATGGTTTAAAAATTCCACGACTTATGGCGGAAATGTCTTCACTAATTTTTTTTTATAGAAATTTAAATTTATTCTTCTTTTAGATTTTTTTATAAAACTCACATTATTATTTTAAATTTATTTCACATAATCAGTCATTTAAACTATTTTTAATTATTGCTCCCAATAATGTTATTTAAGTCCGACAATTAAATGTGAAATTAATTTTTTGAGGTTTATTTACACTGGCCATAAATTCCCAGTTGTTGATTGATAATGTCGGTGTTATAATTAAAAGAACCACAAAACTGCTTTTGTGGTCACTGAATAAATGAGAGAGTACACAGAAAATGATAATAAAAAATATATTCAAATGGACATACATAGATAACACAATTTAAACAACATGTATTTAATGTAATAAAATAAGTACAAATAAGGCAAAGGGGTCACACACTTTATTTTATAAAAAAAGATATAAAATTGATGTACACATTTTTTTTATTTTTTGGAAGCTTATGTTTAGAAAATACTGATAGAAAAAAATACAGTCCTATATTTTTATGTTTTTGCAATGTTTGGGAAAATTTATCGGTTTTTTCCATTAAATTCCTTTATATAAAATATCTATAATGAAGATAACACATAAACAAAAAACCCTCATGTAGTTTATCTTAAGATTTAATTTCTTGCATATGCTTATGGCAAAAACATATAGCATAATAAGCAAAAAATCTAAGTGAAATTAATTTCCAACCTCTATCCTAAACTAATTAAAAGATCCAAAATAAAAAGGGCATTAATATACAACAGGAATTAGGCTTATTAAGCAAAAATCCCAAGGGCAAGCGAAAAATTTATATATCACCTACGAAAAAAATAAAAAAAAATATATATGTATCGCTCAACACGAAAAAACATTCCAAGCAAAGTTATAAACATTTGCCACTTAACTTACAACTGCTTAAATCCATTAACAGTACACTTGTTTTTTGAAAGACTTTCAATGATTTATTTTTACTACTACTTCTGATACTCATTAAAGCCTTATGAAGTCATCAAGGACTCCTGTCATTTTGGACTCCAGCTAGGAATAATTTGTAGCCAACCATCACCCAAATGTTACCCCCTCCCTGTCCATGCCCCTCAAACACAACAACATCAAACATTAGCCAAACCTCAAGTGGTCATTAACAGCAATAGTGTTTTGTGGGGGGTATTGGGTGGGGAGAGGAAATTGAAATCATACTAAAGTTGAGTCATTAAGACTGTCATTTGCCATGAACAAGGTGACATTTAATTTGTCGTAGTCTTTTTGATAAATACCCCCAAAAAACATTTCATTATTTTTTCATGTTGATGTCGTTGTTGTTGCTCTGTTTGATATTAATGATATCAATTTATTTGTCAAATGTTTCCTTTTTATTGGCAAAGTCATAAAAACGAACATTTCGTCTCATGGAGTTTTACGAATAGGAAAGAATTTGAAAAACAAGTGAAAAGAAACATTGTAATAAGTTACATATCTGGACATTTTGGAATATAGGATACCAACTAAAATACTATATACACCAGTTGTCCACTGAAGTGTATACATGCTGTATTCTAAACGTATACGCATAATGGATCAAATATTATGAAATCGTCTATATTGGATTAAAAAATAATAATTATATGTATTGAAATTATTCGCATTGCCTCTTAATACTTACCATAGTAGTCTGAGACAAAAACACGATACATACATTCATGATCAGCGTAATATGAAGTCCGTTTGTCTCATATATTATATTAACAAGTCCTCACATAAAAGTTCTGCAATAATATCAATATCTTGAAAGTTTATCCAAAATTTGTTCTAACTTTATTATTTTTTCTCAGAGGATAAATAAGTTGCAAAATATATTCTACAAAGATATATTATAAACTACTGGCGACCAGAAACATTTTATTCCTGTCAAAAATTTAAAATTTAAATTCCTAATATAATTTAGTATGTTATACTGTCGATGAACTATGTTACACTGTCGAGACCCCTAATTTAAGGAACATACCAAAAAATGGACATATACCGACAATTGTAACAAACGATTGTTGTAATCCATAATGCACACGAAATACAAATTTCTGCAAATTTTAATAGAAAATTTTCCTAAAATCTCAAAACCACAAATCATGGTCCGATATTGATAACCCATGGTGGAATGCAACAAATTCTGCAATGACGATCTGTATTTCGATCAATATTGATTACATCGTGTATGAATTACCGAATGTTTGGTAATTATATGAGGGGCTGTGTCTAATTGAGGACCCATATAGATCAATTTCCTAACCTAATATTTCGTTTAATATCACAATACCTTCCTTCACCCTAAATATTAAATCGGTAGGTATTTTTATATAGGGGCTAGGCATAAATGCAGTCCGAAATAGTTCATTCTCGAACCTGACGTTTTATTTTTTTATCTAGATATCGTCCAAAGGTAGACTTATTACAACAGATGGACAAATCATCTTAGAATTCCATAATTTGTAGTGCATCACTTAACTATTTTAATATAAAAAGGGGGTTTTATTGGGAGAAAATTTGTTACCGAATGCGACTACAAAATACCAAATTTACAGCGAATTCTGTTAAAAAACACACTCAAAATCCAAAAAATACGGAAAATTTGGGACTACCGGAAAAATTTGACCTATATTTATAATTTTTGGTGGAGCGGTTTAGTACACAATAAGAACACAAAGTTCCCAATTACAGCGAATCCGGTTGAAAATGCACTCAAAATCCTCATATAGTGAAAAATTTTGGGGCTCCTTTATATAAGAGCTATCCGAAAAAATTGACCCATATTTATAATTCTAATTGGAAATATTTGGTACCCAATAAGAACCTAATGTATCAAAATTCCATCGAATTCCGTTTAATGAGTGCTTAAATACGGAAATCTGAGGATACCGTTATATTGAGGATACCAGAAAAAGTATACCGATATTTATAATTTTTCGTGGAGATATTTAATGCCCAATACGATCCCATTGTATCAAGAACACAAAATACCGAAAATAAAGAATATATATATTTTATTCAGTCGGAAATGACTATTTCGACCAATTACAACGACAGTAACTTCGTTGAGCTCCACAAACCATAGACCTAGGGTATATATCATCGAGTCGATGATGACGTATGTGTCCGTCCATCTGTCCATTATAATTTGTAAACACAGTTATGGATAAATCTTCACGATATTGTGCATGTAGGATGGGTTCTGCCCAATGAAGACCCCTATTATTTGGTAAAGATCGGTTAATATTTAGGGGATGAAATGGACCAAATACTTAATGTTTGTCGGGTTTTTCTGGAGAAGGGATCTTACATGGAGAAGGGATCTTACCAAAAAATAAGCAAGCCTGAATTGATAAAGATTCTATAGCGTATATACTTACTTCTGAAGGACATAGGCCTGAAAAGTTGATGGTATATCCATGAGAAGTGGAGACTTTTGAATGTTACCTATTACATTGCCGTATGTATTACAAGTGCTTACGTATTCTGATATTATTTAATAACCCATTACCACACTTGAGGTCGGAAATATAGTGCTGATCGCTTTGAAATGTTCCATGATGTTCCAGTTATGGTCAAGAACAACGCCTATAATTTTCGTTGATGATCAGATAATAATTTTAGGATGAAGTAGACCGAAAACTTATGTTTTTTAGTCGATCTATACATCACAACTCGATTTTTTAATCAGTTTTTGAAAACAGTGAATAATGCATAGGAACCGTTACATGGATGTTTTTTGATTTTGCTAGGACCCATATTTACTCTTTATTTGATCATTGTGCTGCATTTCGATTGCATACTACATCGTCCCGGATCTTCCCAGAATGGCATTAAAAGTGACGAATTATAGATTTAATATTATGTCGTGGGAACCAAATAAAAGCTGTTGCATTATCCTATACCGAAAAGTACAACCAGATTTTGGTCAGATCTGATTGTCAGATCTTCATAAAACTAATAAATAAAATGAGATTAATAAGAACTAAATCAAAAAGCCTAGGGTCCTGACATAAAATCCAAAACATTCTTCACTAAGTTTACTTTACAGGTAGTACGAACTTTGCACATAAAATGACCCTATTCTTTGGGACCTTCCGATTAATGTAAAATAGTCCCCAAATTGTGAATTTGTTGGATATATTTAACAGCAAACTACACTTTTCCTATATATATATATATATATATATATACATTATCTTTTAATTGTATTAGAAAAGTCCATCATGTTTATTGACTTTAGAATTTCACTATTAAAATGACCTAGAGTAGAATCAATAAATCAATAAGCATATCATAACATATCAAAAAGAGAAATATCAAAGTAAATTATTTCAATATGAGTATGTATTTCATCTTCATTATTTCTAAAATGGCTACGAAATTAACAAATCAAAATCCAAAAAATTAAGAAATACTACAAAAAATGTCTAAAACAAACTCTCTGGTCAGTTTATTATTACACTGAAATTGCCACATGAAAGTGTTTTGGGGGGGGAAACATTGAAATTGCACAATAACTACTCTTGTAGACAATAATAGTTTATTGTTTTCTTTATATCTGCAAACAACGACAACAACAAAAAACCAACATCAACAATAACAACCTAAGTACAATGTCCTTGACAATAACTACTACCCCCGAAAATGTCCATTTAAAGCTCATACCTCTCGAACAAAGAAATTATCAATCTATTTGTCCTTTATGGTTTTGTCAATTTTGCCATGCCTAGCCTTGAAGCAATACTTTGGTTTGTTCTAGTTTTTTTTCTGTTGTTGTCGTTGTTGTTGTTCTTTTCTGTAGGACTCACAAATTGTCCTTTCTCTATTTGGTTTTCCTGTCATGGCCTTTTCTCTTCTGTTTATTGATTGTCGATAAGTGAGTTGGCTTTGTCCAGCAGAGAATATTACAAAATGATATTCTAGTACACTCCATAGCATCCGACCCCCAATTCTTGAAAATCTCTAGGTTGATTTTTGTGTGAAATCAAGAAAAATTGAATTTTCCTTCTCCTCCTCCTGGCTTTTTTTGCTAAAATCAAAGTTTTATGTACAAATCATTTTTCATAATAACTTTATGTTATTCTGCTTTTGGTGTTTTCTTTTATGGCCCTGGCCATAGAATACTGGAAATGGTTTGAATAGATTTATTTGGATTTTATTCTAGAAACGCGTTGTGGAGGCCAATGGCTCAGCGATTACGAATCCCCAACAATGGCAATGGTTGCCAACTATTGAAGTACCCCCTCTGCCTAGTTTGCCCTTAAGCCCTTGGCTGAGAGGGAGTTTTCGTAGTTTTGTATTTTTTTGGCTAGCACATTTTTTATAGCCGCCCTATGCCAAGCGGCGGACATAAAATGCTGCCATGGAGACGCGTCTGCTTGGCGTCTCCATAAGATAAGGCCTTTTATTTGATGCCAGCATTCATTGTTTGTAAGCATCGACAAAAGACACGAGACATTTAAACAAATAAATTGTAAATGTAAGAGTGTGTTTGTTCTTGTTGTTGTTGGCAATGACAATAACCTCCACTCCGCTCAACAAGAAACGAAATTTAAGAACTTGCAAATTGGCTGAAACATTGTAAAACAAATATTGATTTTTATGGATAGTTTCCAGAATTCTTTGACTACTTCTTCGGCAATATTTTATTAATTTTATTTCCAACTCTTCTCTTCTCGTTTCTCTTTACACAGTTACATCAAGGACACCGAATGGTCGCCATGCAGTGTCACATGCGGTGAGGGTATAAGGCGACGCTCGTATCGATGTAAAATTTTCTTGGAATTTTCACGCACACTGGCCACCATCAACGATACCATGTGTGAGGGTGTAAAACCACACGACGAGGTAGAACGCTGTGTAGAGGAGCCATGCATGTTGCCATCACATGGCTATGATGATCAATATCCACGAGATTCAATAAAAGTTGGCGTCTCGGAGCCAGGCAAGACATATGTGTGGCGTGAACAGGGTTACACATCCTGTAGTGCCAGCTGTTTGGGCGGGGTGGAGGAGCTCATCATCAATTGTGTGCGAGAAGATAATGGCCGTGTGGTTTCACCATTCCTGTGTGCTCCAGAAACCAAGCCGGAGGCCCGTGTAAGAACTTGCAATGATAGACCTTGTCCTCCGCGATGGAATTATTCAGATTATACCCCCTGTTCCAAGTCGTGTGGTATTGGTATTAAAACACGTGAAGTCCAGTGTATCCATGAGGTGACAAGAGGTGGTGAAAATACCATGGTGGTACCGAATAGTATGTGTCCTCAGCCTCCACCTGCTGATCGTCAATATTGTAATGTCCTAGATTGTCCTGTGCGCTGGGAGGTGGGAGAATGGTCAAAATGTTCTCACACCTGCGGCTATGGTTATAAAGAACGCAAAGTGGAGTGTAAACAGATTATGGCTCAGGAACATAAGATCGAAAGACCCGAATCGATGTGTCCCAGTGCCAAGCCACCAGATAAGAAACCATGTAATATAAAACCATGTCCTCCAGAAGATCCTAAACCAATTATACAAATTAGCAATACCACACACATACAACATGATCCGAAAAAATCAAAAATCACATTAAAAGTGGGCGGTGCTGGTGTGGTCTTCTTTGGGACACAGGTTAAAATTAAGTGTCCCGTTAAGCGATATAATCGTACAAAAATCAAGTGGAATAAAGATCATAAGCCATTGGTGAAGTCCCGTAAATTTAAGGTTTCCAAAAAGGGTGCCTTACGTATTTTGGACATCACATTCCGTGATGCGGGCGTGTATTCGTGTCATGCGGGGCTGAGTAGTGCCGACATAACAATAGATGTTAAGGCGAAGCCGGGTCAAAGGCCGGAGGATTTGGAGAGGCATGAATTGGGTAAGAAATTAATGTGATTAAAAGAGGGAGAGATGGAGGGGATAATAATGAATTTATTTCCTTTTTTACTTCTAGATCGCCTTGTACGTGAGAAGAGCGGAACAGAGCCTTTGACTGCAGCCGATATGACAGCAGCGGAAAATAAGTAAGTACATTTAACTTCTGAAACCATAACCTTGCTTCTGAAACCTTAACCTTGCTAATGGAAATCATGATAATATTCTATAATGAGCTTAATTCGTACCTCAATGGCTTGAACATTGAATTGAAAAACTTCTTTAAATTAACTAGTTTTTTGTAGGGTTTAAAAAATTCCTTGTCGCCCAAACCATTTGAAAATTGTATTATAAATTACGGAAATATGTCTAATTTCAATATTTAAGTTACACCAAATGATTGGACCTAAAGAAATTAGTAATATCCTCAATTTGTTTGAAGATCTTTCAATATTTTGAAAATTTTATAATAATTTAGTTTATAAAATGTTTCACTTAATCTCAAAATACTGTAACTACATTAACCATTTTTTCAAAAGGTCTCAGCCAGCACTCGAATATTTCAATCTAAATCCCCCATTCACCCAGACACAAATATGCTTTATGCTCTACCTACTTTTAATAATTTAATCCTCTTAGCATGTTTCATAAATGGGACACTCCATTTACTCACATCTACAACATCCAGCAAACAAGCCAAAGAAAACACAACTTTAAGAACTTCTATAAAGTCAATAAAGCAATGATTTAATAGCTTAGCACTTGGCCATATGCATTTCAACATTGTTGATCAAAGAGGATTCTAATGACAGCATATCTATCCAGGGCAGACATGCATACGTCTAATGTCCTGGAATAAGAGATGCTGGCCAAGCAAACTCAAAATCTCATCATACATCATTTATTAGTTTCATTTTTCCCTCCAACTCTTACTCTTCATTTTCTTGTTTTTCTTCTTCTGCTGCTTGGCTCAATGTGTAGTTGAGAAGAAAATCTAGTCAAGCTTTTCATTTAATTGCCCAACACATAGATGTCCATGCATATCCGTCCAGTGAGATTAAAGTTATGCATTCGGTCTGGGTGTAAACTACATTTTTTACGTTACGTTACATTTCATTTGATTTTATATTTTCATATGGTTTGTGATTTTCATTTTGGATTTCTTTCCAGCACTCAAAGCACACGTCGCAAACAGCAACAGAATGCCAGAGAACGTAATCGTCGTCCAAAGTCTGATGGTATACAACAGCATGCGGATAGCAGTATTATGGGGGATGAGGTAAGTCGAATTGTTTCATACACTACCAATTTCGTTTTGTGAAAAGTGTGTGTTTCTTCTCAGCTAAGAGAAACTAAATAATTTTTTGAGAAAGGTTTTATGGAATTTATCGAGGAAAATTATGTGAAATTGAAATGAAAGTAATTTATAACTAAGGATACATTTCGTATCCCAAAAAATACCAATGTGTTAAATTATATTCAGCATTGAATTGATACGCTACGATACCAAATTGGACAATTTTATCCATTTTGTGATATTTCTTTCCACTAATTTCTGTATTGTGATGACCGCTTATTTCATCTACATAGATCGATTTTTGATAATAATTTGTCTTCCCTTGTTCTTTTTTTGTCGAATTACGCCGAAGACTTCTGGCAAACAATTGTTGTGTACCACTTAAAGATCTTATTTTTTAAATTTGTTTGCTCCAATCGACACGAGACTATTATGAGCGATTATTTAATTGTAATGGACCCGGTTTTCCACTCCGAATAAGACACCGCCAAAACATGCTTTTTTTGATCTGCAAAAATATAGGAATTGGTGGATGCCATATCAGGGATAACCGAGGTATGGTTTTTCATCTCTGACACCTGCAAAACACGTTTTTGTATTTTTTCGAATTTCCCCGATAACTTCTGGCAAACAAATTTTGTTTTACCACAAATGTCGTGATGAACGATATTAAATTTGATGGATCAGGCCAGGTTAAATCAATTTTTCCACTCCGATTAGGACACCTGCAAAAATGTTTTGTTTTTTACTCTTAAACAGCATCTTCTGGCGACGAAAATCGTTCACCACACACTTTTCATTATCTTCGAGTTCACACGCCTTAGATCCATGATTTGTCACCTGTGTCGATTTTATAAATTTAATGATTTTTTTTTTCAAATATATATTTTTTGGCATCGATCGACACGATCCTTTTCGGTGCGATTATCAAATTGTGTTGTACCACTAATAATTGAAAAAAAATTGCGGTTCCTTATCCCATAGTTTAGCCCTGCAAAACATGTTTTTTGAACGCTTCAACAGATTCTTCTGGCGACGAAAATCGTTCATAACTCACATTTATCCTTGATCTTCTATGTTTTTCACCTGTGAGGGTTTCATATGTGTATCGATTTTTTTAAGATGTTTTTTTTTGTCATTAATCGGCACGAGGCTTTTGCCGTGTTGTACCAATTTTCAAAAAATAACTTTTTTTGCAGCTATTACTTATACAAATACATTTTTTGACCTTATGGTCGATTTTGTTTCCCTCATGGTTTATTTTTACGGATAAATTACCTTTTGTTACGATACGTGATGTACAAAATTTCAAACTCGTACTCAGCTATCAAAATTTTTTACTTCGAATATACCACAATGATCCTCATTCTTTTCTGAGTTCTTATTTCATCAGAATCCTCAAATGTCTGAAATTCATTTCAAATAAAATTAAAACAACAACTCGAGTTTTCTGCAATTGTTTCTAATATTGGAATTAGAACAACAACTCTCAATTTAGTTCATACCTTATGACACAGGTCAATTTATAACAAAAACATATTCTGAATAAAATGTGATCCTTTACAAAAGTGGTCTAATGTCATATTGTCTGACTACAACTTCAATAATATTGCTGTCTGGAGGTATATACCCACATACATTCATATATGTACCTTTTCGCAAAAGCATAGCGTTTGGAAAAAGCAATACTCTTACATTCTATTTAGGTTGCTGTGTTTTTATTGGAATGTCGACAAAAAACTAAATCTCCTTTTAGTATATTGTAACTGACCAAGGATATTTTTATCCTCATACTGTATTGCTGTTATTGTTGTTTGTCAACTGTTGGTTTTATTTTCCCCATTTTCCTTCTCTCATTTCATTGTATGTAATTTGTTCTGAAAAAGGATAAAATAAGGCAATATTCCCGCATTCCGGTATTTTCTTGGTATTGCATTTCATGCCCTCAAAAACTAACCATTTTTGGGTTGCACGTAATGCACACAAACATACACAAAGTTCGTTTTATCACACAGAGCAGCGAAGCATATATGACGACAATATTGTTTCTTGTTTCTCTTTCGGTGTAGTAGTAGTGGTGGTGCTAGTAATCCTCTTATACTCTCATATATAAATATAAGTTGATATGTTTGCTATTCTTGTTCTTTTATTTTCAAAACTCATAAATGTTTAAAGCGTTGTGTGTTGCTATTTTGTGGAAACTGACCAATGACCCCAGTTTTTTTCCTCCTTTATTAGTTATGTCACATTGCAATGTGTCGTCATATCGTTTTGTCCACCACTATGTCATTTAAGACTTTAAACATATCTGCAAAACTCAAAATTTCATTAGAATTTTCCACAAAATTAACATGATTATCTTGATTATATATGTACCGCAACTATGAAGTTTTCCCCCACATTTTGTTGCTCCACAGTTTCCAATTTTCAGTTTTTTTCTTGCTGACATAACAAATTTTTAGCAAACTTACTCCGCCCTAATATGGCTTGTTAAATATAATTGTATTAAACGAGAGAGAAAAAATACCATTTTAGAAGTTTAGTTATGGTAAGCTTTAAAAACGTACAAAAAAAGTATATGTTAGCCAAATGAGCCAAATCTTTGCCAAACCTATGATGAATTTATAACACTGTTCAACAAAAAATAATTATCAAGAAATTCGAAAAAAATTATGATAGAGGGGCTAAAAATCAAAGGCAAGTTATTGGCATTTTTAAAGTTTACGTCGGGAGGTAGCTTAAAAAAGCATGGCAATATTTCCAATTTCCAAGACATTGAAAAAACATTCGGATTAAGATTTTACGGAATTCTTGCATTTTAGGTCTTTGTCAATATTTCTGATATAAATGTAAGGAATAGTTTTGTTCAATACGTTAAGCTCTCTGAAGGGATCTTTTGGGTCCCCTTCTCCAGAAATGATTCAAAACTAATTTAAAACAGGGTTGTATCAGGTGAGAATATTTTACTATAAGTCTCAGAATAGACCAAAACTGGAAAATCAGCCGAAACTTCAAAAATCTTAAAAATATGATAGCTGATTTTAGGACTAAAACCGATCTTATTACGAGTTTGTACTAATTTATCCCCACTAGATGTTGTTTTAGACGGATGATATAAAGGACAATCTGTGAAGCTTTGGCCAAATGGAATGAGATAGACCCATCTCTTAAACGGATGGTGACTGGAGATGTAAAATTGATCTCGTACGATAGTGGTCAAAGAGCGGTGAAGCACCTCAAACGGTGGCCAAACGAGAACTAACTGCTATGCATTTGGTGGGACTGGCCAAACGCTAAATTCTGATCTCTACTGTTAACAACTGGACCGTTTGAAGATAGCAATTGTCGGGTTCCACCAGGACAACGCTAGGCCACACACATCTGCAGTGATTCGCCAGAAACTTCGGGAGCTTGATTTTATGCATCCGCCATACAGTCCGGACTAGGCACGAAGCGATTTTCATCTTTCTTGCATTTCAAAATTTCTTTATTGATAACAAATTGGTATCAAGGGAGGATTGTGAAAATCGACTACTAGAGTTTTTTGCAAATAGAGAGCTATAGAGTCCTATAGTTCATATAAAAATAATGGATTTATTTTTCCGCAACCTAATATAAGATTTAATGTAGAATATTTTTTTCTTTACAGCATCCTCCTAAAACGATCTTTTGTGGGAAAAATTGGTACAAATTCGGAATAAGATCGGTATTGACCCTGAAACGAGTTTTCATGTTTTTTTTAAAATTGTTGATGTTAGGCTGATTTTCGAGTTTTGGTCTATTCTGAGTCTTATAGTAAATCTTTATGACGAACCTTTTTCTAGTACATTCTGACCTGCTATAACCCCATTTTAAATGAGTTTTCAATAATTCTGGAAAAGGTGTCCGAAAAGACCCGTTCAGAGTGTGGACCTCACTTTTATATGAGTAATATTGCCAAAAACACCGTATCCGAATCTTAATCCGAATATTTTCAAAAGTCTTGGAAATGGGAAATATTGTCACGTCTTTTTAGATTACCTCCCGACATAAAGTTTCAAATTGTCGATAGACGTGTTTTCTATTTTTAACCCCAATGATCTTAATCTCCTAAAATCTCCATAAAAAATCCACATTGTTGTCAATAGGTTTTAAAAATCAATGGACATTATGAAAAATTAACGCATGTAATCATGCATATCTCCGTATCTCCTTCTGACCACCATTAGTAGGAAACACCACACTTTTGGCAATTTTATTTACATGTTTAAATTTCCTTGTGGTCACAAGCAACAAGTGTCCGCTCTTGGCTCAAGAGTCGGAATAATTTAGTCAATTAACATTTGGAGTGCATAAACTATTTTGGTGGCTATTAGTGGTTGCCTTAGACTTAAATGGTCAAAGCATTTACAAGTGGGCTCTACAAAAATCAAGTTTTCAGAAAAAAAACACGAACAACACAAGGTATACAAATCGCCAAACCTGGCCACTTAATTTATATTCTAGCCTTTTTTATTTCGAAATAATAATAGAAACAACACGAATTGTATAACTACCTAGCTAGCCAGCTAAGCTAAGTGCTAACAGTTGGCAAACAATTACAATATAAATATTCAAAAGATACTTATGTTTTTATTGTATTCTTCTTTTTCTACTTCTTCTTCTACTCCTTGCACTTGTATTTTTGTTTCTTATTCTCTGCTCACATTGTTTTGGCGGTGGCTTTTGACAATTTACCATTCTGCGGGTGCCAAATCTCCTTTTTTTCTTTTTTGATTTTGTTCTTTAGCATTCACATTTAGTCCAGCAGGCCCAGGATGGTTTGCCTCAACCGAGTGCCAGCAGTGGTAGCAGTCGACGCACCAATGCCTTGTTGGCCATGCCATATTTCCAGGCTTTACTCAGTAATCTACAGGTGAGGTATTCCGCAATGCTGTAATACACAAATACAACACAAAACAACATGCCATGCCATGCAATAGAAGGCTAGGCTAGGCCAGGGCACAGGATATGAATCCTGTGTTAAATAGTCATGTGTTCTTTTTTTATTTGTGTTTTCAGTGTTGTTTCTCTTTTGTTTGTTTATTTAGAACATCGTGTTGTTGGATCTTTTTTTCCTGGTATTCATTTTTTTCTTTTTTCCCTATTTGGTAAACTATCAGCCTTTTTACCGGTTGGTCGTGGATTTTTTTGTTTTGTTTTATTTGAGTTCCTTAATCCTGTGGCTGATGATAATGTTAATGTTATATTATGGCTGTTTTGTTAGTTTGTAATTTATTCCTTTGTTTGCATTCCTTTATCCCAGGTTTTTTTAGTTTGGTTGGCATATGAATGGCGTAAAATAGTGAATTTCATTCAGTGTGGATGTTGCAATTTTGCGCCTCTTTCATTTTTTGTGTCTTGTTGGTGTAAAATTTCAGTTTCCTTTTCTTTTCAGTGGTTGTTACTGTGTGTTTTTATTGTGTGCCTGCCATTGTGTTGTTTTTGTCATATTTGTTGCACTTTTTTGTTTTGTCGTTGCTGTTGCTTCCTTTCATTTCGTCCACTGAAATATCCTTTTGTATCCCGTTAGAAGAAGCATCGTTTGTTTTAGCCTCGATATTGTCTTCGTTTTTTGTCATTCATATCATTTGTCATTATGGTTTTTTTGTTTGTTTGCTTTTGATTTTGTCATTCGTGCATTGTTGTAAACGACACAATGACGATGACGGCGACGACACATCATTATAACATTGTTGCTTGTCTTCACTTTAGATTAGTTATTTCCTGAGACCTTACACCATCTACATGTATTTTTAGAGGATGTAGTGAGTCCTTAGGGATTACATGTATTTGTTAAGCCCAAATCGAATTTTATGCACACTCTATCAAGGAGTTTTAGCATTTTCAAAATTAAATATTTACTATTTTACCTCTTCAATTACGACTATAAAATATTTAATATATTAAATCATTTTTTAATAGATATAATCTGCAATCCAAAAAATAAAAAATATTAAATTGGATTCATATGATTTTATTCTTAAATGGTATTTATCCAATAACATTTTCGAGATTCTCCATATTTGGTTATTATCCTGTGGAAATACGTATCTATGTAAAAAAGTTCATTCAAACAGGAACAGGTTATCATAAGGAAAACATACAAATTCGACAATGGTAGAAATCTCGACTCGCTTTAAGAAGTGGAAAAGAGAAAAATAATAAACTCCCATCATTACCAATACAATATATATCTTCCAGAATCCTGATTATCGTTGATCATATAGAATGTCAAATTAATTTTTTTAATTAACCATGTGAAAAAAAAATAGACAGGCCATGATTTTCAACACCCAATTCTGATTTTTCACCACGCAGTTTTTGTTCATGATTTAAAATCTCACAATGGACAGACTAAAAGACCTCCTCCAGTTTATTATACCTTACACAACTATTTTGTCAGGATATTATAGCTTTGTATGATCCAAGATTGGTTCTAGACTCACCTTTTAGTATACCGATCGTCATATCTCGGCTAGCTGAGTCAACCTAGACATGTGTATCCGTCTTTCCATTATAAATTGTAAGCTCGCTACAGGCCACAGTTTGGATCAATCGAAATTTTGCATGTAGGACGGGCTAATATTTAGGGATGAAATGGACCAAAAACATTATTTTATGTTTTTCTGGTCGCTCTAGAGGCCACAATTACGACACGAACATTTTACAAAAAAGTGGTTTAACCATGGAATAAACATGACTGTTTTAAGGAAGATCGGCCAATATTTAGCGGTCAGACTTTTGTGTGAAAAATTACGAATTTTGTATTCTGGGGCGCATATATTTACTCCTGAAGGACAGAGACCCGAGATGTTGATAGTATATCCATGAGGAGTGGTAAACCTTAATATTTATACCAATTATATATAAGAACTCGGATGTGGGAGTCATACGTAAATATTTAAAGGTGACTATGTGGCAAGATATTTTTTCGTATAACTATTACCTGTTGCCTAGGCTCAGAATATAGAACCGAAGAAAGTTAGATTTTCGTGGTAGTTGTGTTTCTCATGTGTGTGTGTCATATGGTCGGCCCCGTCCGACTGGGTGTCAATTATAAATATCTACCATAAATACAGAACCAAAATTGAGTAAGGGTTGTAATTACACCACCAAGTCCTGAATTTTTTTAACGTTAGTATTTGCTTAGTTTTGTCTTCATTTGGATCACATTTCAACTTATGATAGAGGGAACCAACATGAATTTGCTAATTTTCCTCAATTTTTAAATACAAAACTATCATCTTATTTATATGTAATGGTGTAGGGTACAATAACTCCACAGGAAAACACCCGTCAACCCTAACTAAATATCCTTTATGTCAATCTCCGTCGTATAAAGTCATTTCTCATTTATTATCATCATTATCATTGTTGTTGTTTTCTGTCATCAGTTTTAGTTTAACACTTTCTTACTTTTTTAGCCTTTTGTTGCGATTTGTTGTGTTCCCTTACCCGTCCACAACAACAAAAAATACATCATGCTTTTTTTAATACTCATGCAATGTTTGTTGCCTTTTGTTCCTTTTTTCCACTTAGGTTGGCTTTTAACACAAATACAAACAATACCAACTCCCCCTTTTTATGACTTATCTTTGTCTCCCTCCATTTACTTTTTTGTCTGTGTGTGTGTGCGCGCAAACCCAAATGTTTTCTTTTTTGAATGCTATTTGGCACTAATTTTAAATGCAGCAGCACTTTAAGACATCCGCACTTCCGTAATTTGTTGTTGTGTTACACCCTGCACCTTTTTTTAAAACGAGGTGAGCTTTTTATCCCACTATAATTTTAGCTTTCTATACATTTTTTTTTAGCTTTCTATACATGCTTGTTTGTTTTTTTTTCTAAGAGAATTATTCATCATCATCATCTTCCTTGTAGTTTGAGTTTTATTTTAAATTATTTTTAAATTTCTCCATTCAAATAGTCATTAATTAGTGTTGTAGATTAATTGTAAGCATTTAATTTTCGCAACGTTTTTTTCCATTGAATTGTTGGAAAAAATTGCAACAATATATTAATGAATGATTAATTTTTTATAGCAGATATTCATTTAATTTGTTTTTTCATATTTTATTTATAATGTAACACGCCCGAAACTCCATTTACCACAATATCATTTAATTACATAAATCTCCATTGTTTTGTATTCATTTCTGTCCATGGTATTATTTTAATAACCATTTTCATTGAATTCATTTATTATAACTATACAACTACTACAACAACAAAAACCCCCAACTGGAAAATGCAACTCTAAATAGTATTCGTAAAATGATGTATGGGTATTATCCTAGATTTACAGTGTGTTTCATAAATTTCATAAAAGTGGATTATATTAAAGCATTACAGAGAATTACAAACATTTTAACGATATATTTAGACACGTGGTTGGGAGTGAGTAAAAAAGGCTAATATTCTTGGAAAAAGGAGCATGATTGTTGCTCTAAAAAGGACTTTTACAATAAGATAAAACTATATTGGATACTTGGGGTTTTAAAGTCCTTTACAACATATCGAAAAATGTTTACAAACGACGTGAAATAAATCTATATAAATAAATTTCCCAGAGGTCATAGGTGGCGTATTATGTATGAGTAAATGTAACTATACGCCCTAGTGTACTCATAGCAAATTATGGTTAACAAAAGCTAACAAAGAAAACTTTATAAGCTTTCAATTGGAGATCTTCTCAGTATTGATTTTAATGACTTATTTTTATTTTTTGTTCTAAACAAAGCGGTTATCAAAAGATTCGTTCCTGAAATTTAAAAACAAAGCATTTCCCATATTTTTTAAAACTCCCAAACAACACACTGTGAAAACAAATTTGCCACAATCTTCAATATATACATTTTGGAAATATAATTTAATTATTATCATTAAAAATAACTGTGCAATTCATATCATTCCAACTAGAATAATTTGTGTCATTTATAAAATTATTAATTTGCATTGGCAACAGAAATATCGTTTTTCCCAATTATATTAATTTTGGACATATGCTCTAGCATCACACATACCTTAACACATAGTCGTGGAAATTATTGCAAACAATTATTTATGGCGATTTTTTACTATAATTTGTTAACACATTTTTTTTATATTTGTCCTCTTTGGTTTGAATGCGGTTTCTGTTGGAAATTTTGTTTTGCCCCATCACCACCAATACCAACCACCAACCAGCAAATGATGGTGGTGATGCTGTTGGTCAGTCATGAAATTTATTGCCTGGTTTTTTATTTGATTTGACAATCCATAGCTGTGACTCGATGTTCCAACAACAGCTTTGCTTGAGGTCAACCATACGCCCACCAACTGCCATGGCGAATGATTAATGTTTGCATATGTTTTAAAGCGGAAATATTTTTTGTATTTTATTTCGCTTGTTTTTGCTTTGTTTTGAACTGCCACAATTTTTTAAATGCAATACCAAAAATATAGCAGAACAATTTAATTTAGTTGGCAGTGTAGATTATGTGATATCCTATAACAAATGTATAAAAGCGATAGAAATATTTTATAACAAGTAATGTTATTTAAAATTTCCGAATATCTAAATTTGGAAAATTAAAAGTTGCGTAGATATAAACAGGAATATATAAAAGAATATTCAAAAATTTAAGCCATTAATTTTATACAAATCTTCTTGTTTGATTAAATAACAGTCGAAGAAATACATAACAGTTTATGGTTTAGGGATCTTTAATGAGCACAAATTTCATTAACACAAGCTTTGGTTCATAACGTCGCCTACTTAAATCTAACCAAAATATGGACCAATACTTTCAATACTTAAGATGCTGTCGAATTTCGTCTCTTTGGATTTGAGCTTTATTGGCTGACATAATGACATCATCATAACACCTCCCA